CTAAGAGAGGAGCCAAACTGTTCATTGACAAGACAAAGATTTTGTGGAATGGCTACAGCTCAGAGGTCAGTCAAACTGTTTTGTTGCAGATGTTCTCATCAGTGCATTCCTGTGTTTCCTGTTATTTGGTGTGTTTTTTTCATTCTCCTGGCATGATATCTTTACAATTGTCAGTAGTTAATCAGAGCAAGGAAGGAAAACATTGAGACCTGCCAATAAAGCAGAAGACTTTGCAAACATACATTGTTAGACATTTTTTCTGGAAAGCATCTTACAGCTTAGATGATCCTAATACATAGATTTGAGGTATTTTTAGCCTTAGAGTTGCATCAACAGATTTTTTTAGCTACTTGGGGGCAGTAGAACAAGCAGAAAACACAGCACTGAAATATTAACGCCTTATAAAATTGTTCTGGTGAACATGTTTGCAATCAATGACAAATCTGGCAGACATGGAGTAACATTAGCAATAAACTGGAGTCATGTTTGTGTCCACCTGAGGATTGAAAGTCAAATATTCACTCTCATTTTAGCCCCTATTTGTTCTCCACCAACTCCTTGAGAGAAATATCTGGCTCTTTAGCTGCTAAATGCTCTGATGTAGTCACTAGCTACTTGCTAGCTTTGTCTGGGCAGGTAGCATACAGCTATTTAATCAAATGGAAATAAGACTATTAAGAGCAGTAATAATGAACTTAATCAACAGTATATTTGATGGCTGTAAAACCAAAACAGTGAAATGAAAAATGCTAAAACGCTTGGGTTGATCACATTGAGTAACCATATATGTGCAGCTACATCCATTCTAAGTTTATCTTCTGCTTTTTCTCATGCATCCTTTCTGTCCATTTCACATCCTACAGGTGCCATTCTCTAATTGCAGTGAGGACTGTGAACCTGGCACCAGAAAGGGGATCATAGATAGTATGCCCACATGCTGCTTTGAATGCACTGAGTGCTCAGATGGAGAGTACAGTAATCATAGAGGTATTAAGAATCCAAACATTCACAATCTCATTCTACTAATGTTACGCCTTGCTACTATTGCAGTTTTAACACACCATGTTTTTATTTACACAGATGCCAGTGTTTGCACCAAGTGTCCAAATAACTCCTGGTCCAATGGGAACCACACATTCTGCTTCCTGAAGGAAATTGAGTTTCTCTCTTGGACAGAACCTTTCGGGATAGCTTTGGCCATATGTGCAGTGGTGGGTGTTGTCTTGACAGCCTTTGTGATGGCAGTCTTTGTCAGATTTCGCAACACCCCAATAGTGAAGGCCACAAATCGAGAATTGTCCTACGTCCTCCTGTTCTCACTTATCTGTTGCTTCTCCAGCTCTGTTGTCTTCATTGGCGAGCCGCAGGATTGGACGTGCCGTTTACGCCAACCTGCCTTTGGGATCAGTTTTGTTCTCTGTATCTCCTGCATCCTTGTGAAAACTAACAGAGTACTTTTGGTATTTGAGGCCAAGATCCCTACAAGTCTCCATCGTAAATGGTGGGGATTAAACCTACAGTTTCTGTTGGTGTTTCTGTGCACATTTGTCCAAGTCATGATATGTGTGGTTTGGCTTTATAATGCCCCTCCTTCCAGTTACAGGAATCATGACATTGATGAGATCATTTTTATCACCTGCAACGAGGGCTCTGTGATGGCTCTTGGGTTTCTTATTGGCTACACATGCCTCCTGGCAGCTATATGTTTCTTCTTTGCATTTAAATCACGGAAACTTCCAGAAAACTTCACAGAAGCTAAGTTCATCACTTTTAGTATGCTTATATTCTTTATTGTTTGGATCTCTTTTATCCCTGCCTACTTTAGTACTTACGGCAAGTTTGTTTCAGCTGTGGAGGTCATTGCTATACTGGCATCCAGTTTTGGGATGCTGGCCTGTATCTTCTTCAACAAGGTCTACATCATTCTCTTCAAACCATCCAGGAACACCATTGAGGAGGTCCGATGCAGCACCGCAGCCCACGCTTTCAAAGTGGCTGCCAAAGCTACACTAAAACATAGCACAGCTTCAAGAAAAAAGTCCAGCAGCATTGGTGGATCTTCTGCCTCGACTCCGTCCTCATCCATCAGCCTCAAGACCAATGGCAATGACTGTGACACGACTTCAGGAAAGCATAAGCCAAGGGTGAGCTTTGGCAGTGGAACAGTTACTCTGTCCTTGAGCTTTGAGGAGTCAAGGAGGAGTTCACTGATGTGATAGCATATGTGTGGATGTGTCAAGTTTCAGCTTCATCAGTCCCATTAATACAGTGTGTTTCGGACTTTATTTTGAGATGCATTTACATGTAGACTTTTTCATCTTCCCATTTTCTTAACATTTTGTCAGAAAGATGATGTTTCACTTGAGAACAACATCACTGCAGATAATATACTGGAATGTACCTGAATCCTGTGACTTACTGATGTAAACTAAGCTTGCTAATAAGAAGAAGACTTTTTGTACAATTAAAAACATTAAATTACATCCTTGAGTTTTTTTTCTCTTCATATGGATGGTATCTTGTTTAGATTTGTGACGTCTTAGTTCACGGAATATCTATCTATCTATCTATCTATCTATCTATCTATCTATCTATCTATCTATCTATCTATCTATCATTTACATAAACCAAATTCAAAGCTTGGTTAGAACAGCAGGCAACTGAGGTTCATTAACAAATTGACTGTGGTGGTACAGTAACACTGTGTTCAGCACAAAGACCTGGCTGGTGACACAGAACAACACTGAACCAGTCGACAGCACAGAACCTTCAGTTGAGACCACAGGATGCATGAGTCATAGTGTAAATACACAATTACTGGATGTCGACAAAATGTTCCATACTTAGTGATTACGTTCTTCTGTGGTCAATCACAAGACAACAAAAGAAATGGAAGTATAGTGCCTCAACATAACATTGTGAAATCCATGCCAAGTCATGCATCACATGTACAGTAAAACTAATTCATATTCTCTCTGAAATATAGATCTGAATAAAAGAACAAACCCAGACTACATAAAAAACAAAAGAAAAGAATGAACATACTAATGGAGGTCTACAGAGAACTTTCTTTGCTTGCTTTTCACACATCTCTAACAACTGTAAGGCCTATCTCACATGTTAATGTCATTCTCGCTATAGGCCCACACCACACAGTCATGTCCTCACAGTATGGGGGAGGTATAGGGAGGCAGGGGGAGTAGTTTGAGGAAGGCATTGTTTATTCTACCCTAACTCTGTCTGATTGTTACTGTAACTGTGAAGCCATTAAGCTGTAACTATTTCCTGAGTAGAATAGAGTCTTGGCCTATGAAGTAATAACAGAAGAATAAAATAATAAAATCATAATATTCTTTCTATCTATCTATCTATCTATCTATCTATCTATCTATCTATCTATCTATCTATCTATCTATCTAGCCAGCTAGCTATCTAGCTATCTAGCTATCTTATCTATCTATATACTAATATTGATAATATTTGTGTTCTGAAATTATATTCATTTTGAACACAGGAGTTTACTTGTTATGTAAGTCAATATTGTTTGATCATGCTCTGAAGGGATAGGATAAATGTTTGAATTTCACCAAAGGCTAGTTGTCAAAGCTTGGACATTTATAACTCAACAATGCTACCCTAGGAATTGCACCAATGGAAAATCTCTGGCAAAATCCACCACATAGATCTTTCCTAAAGGGAATGTCTCAATATATAGGCTAAGGGAAAAATGTAAAAAAAAAAAAAAAAAGTAGGTAAAAAGGCATTTGAGGGCTTCAGCACCTCCCACATTGCTTAACAAGAAGATGACATGCTGGGACACTCAGGATCATGGCTGACCACCTGAGCAGGCTGGAGCAGCTGCACAACTACCTCCTCTGTTAGCAGGAGGAAGACCTTTATCCTCCAGTGGAGCCCAGCAGAGAGACCAGCATGTTGTCATGTGTCTGAACTGCAGGGAGCGGTGAGACAAGATTTTGGAAGAAATGACCAGGAAGCATTGAGTGATGGGGATGTTTAGCACAGCCCCAAGAAAAAACAGTAGAGGACAAGTCAACAAGGGCTCTGGCAATGTCCCACAGTTATTCAAATGAAAAACCATGAGCACACTGACATGAGTGCACACATACATTTTTCACATTGTTTTCCACAACACAGTTTCAAATTCTTCTAACCCCTTCACCCCTTTTATCTTAATAATCAACATTTTCTTCAACAATAAGGCACCGCTCTCATATATTTCTGTAAAGTACTGAGAACAATAGAGACAGTAGATAGAGACAAAATTGAAGAGAAAAATATTAAAGGCTACGCTGTATTTCATACAGCTTTTTCTCAATGACTGTTTTAACTCTTAGAAATCTGCATCGGGACCTTGGAATCATAGGATCCAAATTTTAGTCAAACATGGCATAGCTAATCTATCCATATAACTATTAGTACTTATTAGCGCTGCCAATAAATTCGTTAAAATGTCATTGTTATGCAGTATACCCTATTTAACATACAGTATGATACTAATTTTGATCAAAGGGTTTTCATCAGTGATAATGATGACGTTTGCCCCACCGTGGATATAACAAATGGAGGTCCCAGGAGTGGCAACCATTATTTTGAAAACAACCAACCGGAAGTATTTATACAACACACTCCCCATGCTTTGAGCTTAATCAAGCCACCTTAAAAATAACCATCGTTTCCCGTTTATTTCTTCTGCCTTCAAAATAAAAGCTATTATGTGTGACTCATGGTTTCAGTCAAAAACTAAAATGGATTCACAGACATTCTAAGGTATCTGCTGAATGCTGAACAAATTTCGGGAGATCTTCTGAAGACTATTTTGAGGACTAAGAATATGGTCACGGCTAAATAGGAAGCAGAAATGTGTGTGTTGGAATGTTGGCTTGACAGCGTGTTGTCGTCTGGTCCTGGGTGACAACCTGGAAAATTAGCTTGTGTATGAGGTAAGCTATGCCAGCCAAACCACACCTCTGTGGCAGGGAAGGACGGACTCGCTTTTCACTGAAACAAAGTCGTACTGTGTTTTGCCTCCACAGTGGGCGACTGATATGGCTAAAATTTAACTTTTAATATTTAACTTTTATAGCACTGTAACTTAACAGTGCCATTTCCGCATTTGTCAGTAAGCTAACAGCTAGGTAAAACCTACAATCTATGGTTAAAACAAGTGAGTTCATATGGGCACATTTACAGCCAGTTCACGGCACAAGGTATAGATCGGACAGATAGGACAGCATGGAGGAGAAGAAGGAGCTGTCAGCGATGTAAAAAGGTATTGTCCTGCCTGGAGTCTGTTCATGAACAACGGCAAATATCTCGGCGATGCTCAGCGCTAGCTAAGGTTAGCATGTCACTGCCCCCAAAATTAACATCAACATACAGGTTTATGGAGATGCTGTGAGAGAATAGAATAGCTAAAAATGTCGAAGCTTAAACGTTATTCCTTGGATTTTTTCCTGCTAGAGAAAATAACCAAGACTTGACAGTTGACATTACTAGTTAAATGTTTATGCCCTGTATCTGCTGAATGTAGGTTGCTCAAGTAAATACAGCTGACGTTACTGTTCTAACGGCTATAATGGTTCACCTTCAGGTTAACTGTTACTGGAGCAGTTTTTGTCATTTTATTATTAAATAAGACTGTTATCATAAGTTTTATTTTGTGTTAGTCACTGTTCATGGTCACAGCTGAGTGTTGGCTTTGTTATGCAAATATTAATGATAGTAGTGACACGATTTGCCGATTAACTAATCCATGCACAGAAAATCAGTCCAATTTTCGTTAATGGCCGATAACAATGATTATCAGTCATTCCTTTAGGAGATTGTGATAGACACAAAATTATTATTTTTGTTGAGAAATGATTAATTTGTAGGATAATCGACAGTAACCGAAATCAATGTAAGCTATAACCATTCTTCATGAGCTAAACTGCCCTGTGAGATAACAGTAGTCACATGTGAAGGGTTCAGTTTCATTGTGGACAAGAGAGGGGAAATGTGAGGCTGAACAGCCGAGCGATGTGATACTGCACTTTGTCAAGAGGAACCAGAAGAAGTCAGGTGTACAGTTACTGAGTATAAAATTACTTTTCAGGAAGCCCTTTCAGTAGAGTGTAAGACAATAGATGGCTCTGGATAACAAAGTAAAGAAAAGAACAGTGAGAAAGGTGGAATAAAGACACTTAACAGGTATCTTTGTTTGTTTTCTAGGGTAACATCTCACCTGGTGGTTTTTATTGTTGTATGAACCTGTCCTGTCAGGGTGAAGTTTTGCACAAGAAGACATTGTAGTAGGCCTATCAGATTATGACTGCAATATATCCATTCTTGTTTGTAACATGATTTCTCTTTAAATCAATTCACAGGTCTCAGAGAACTACATTTTTTGGCCTCATCTCCTTAACCTGGATTTGGAGGTTTCAGCGATGGATTTCCACCCATACGTTTTTGTTACTTCACAGTGATCATTTCACTGATTGACTGTCCAGATCAGCAACATGTTTCACCACCATGGGATGACTGGTCAGTGTGTCTGTGGCTGTCAGTATGTTTGCTGAAATGTCCCACACGGAGGAAATATCTTAAACTATAGCATAACAGCAACCACAGTTGCCATTTTCACTGTTTCATATTAGCAAAGTCAAACAGCAATGGGCTTCTGTTCGCCTGTGTGCAAGGTTTTGCGAAGGGGGAAGTATATTGTACTGCTCTTTCTCTCGCTGTCACTTCTGGCATGGATTGCAACTTTTTCAGGCGAAACAGTTAAATCCATTCAGGTTTCCTCCGTCACAACACGAACTCTTGTCAAAGAAGACAGTCTAAGGGATAAACTTAACTCTTGGACTGCAGCACCTGCTCGCTTAAATACTCCACCACCAAAAGGCGAATGCCCTCAGGAGTCACCATTGCTACGTAAGTATACCTCAACGTACAGGTTAAAGAGGTGCCAAAGTTATGGTGTATGTTGTTTTAACTGGGTTAATTAAAAGAAAAATAGTCACCTCATCAGATGTAAACTAAAGTTGTCTGCTCATGATGCCCACTTGCTAAATTGGAATGGTTTGTCTCTGTTTTATATATATATATTTCTTTTTAAGTTCTCCACCTTTACACTGACTTCATGGCAGTGTAGATGAAACAGTGGTAGAGTAGATAAGTTAACTGCTATGTAATAAACCAACTGTTGAGAGGTTAGTTTCTCAAAACTAATGATGGTTGATTGTACTATTCATGACTGTAAATGATGGAGAACATTTAAAAACATATAAAATAGTAATTAAAACTGGTAAACACATTAAAAATGTTGTTTAATCCTGGCTATTGTTTTTCTGTGCTAAAGATAATTGATCTGTTAGTACAGTATGTTTATTACATGCTCATTATTTGCGAATTGTATTTGCAGCTGCTACATTTTGTCTGTCCTGAATGGGTCCAACAAGGCAGCAAAAGAAATAGTTTGAAATTACACAGTTGGAAAAATGTTTAAAATCGTTTTTTCAGTAAAGCATTTAAATGTCTTGCTCGTGACTTGATCTGCTTATTTTGTTATGAATCACGTATAGAAGAATGATCACTAGCACTTAAGACTCATATTGTGAACTCTCCTTCTGCAGAAGGAGCTGTGAAGCTGTCCTTTGAGTCCTCTCTGAAACTGAAGGATGTGGAGAGTGAGAACAAAGGAGTGACTGAAGGCGAGTATGAGCCCAAAGACTGTACAGCGAGGCAGAGCATAGCGATCCTCATCCCTCATCGCAACCGAGAGAGACACCTCCTCTACCTCCTGCACCACCTGCACCCCTTTCTGCAGAGGCAGCAACTACATTACGCCATTTATGTCATCCAGCAGGTATTGCTCCACATCGAGTACAGATTGACGTCACACAGTTTTCATATGAAATCAAATTATCATATCAGGGGACCACAATTACATTACATTCCATTACAATTATTAGTATTAGTAATTGTTTTAGTTTAAGTAGTTGTAGTTCAGGCTCCTGCTGGTAAAGATTTTACTTTTGTTTTTGCATATTTGCTAAAATTCCACTTTCCCGTTTCTCAACCAAAAAGTAAAGATTGGCACGATTGTATATCATAAAAAAATATGTTAGAATGATCAAATATGATGAAATTGCATCTGAGGGGCACAATCAGAGGAAAAAGAGCAACTTTAAGTGAAGAAATGTGAAGAAATATTATGTTTTTATGTATGTATATATTTATATTATGTGTAACTTTGTTGTGTTACTTTTAAAGTATTTTTTTCAAATGACAAAATTTCAAGTAAATAGTCAAGTAAAGCCAATTTTTATTTATATTGTGCCAAATCACAACTGAAGTTATCTGAAGACACTTTTCATATAGAGCAGGTCCAGACCATACTATTTATAATATTGATCACAGAGAGCAAACACTTAGTTACAGCGACTAGGAAAAACTTTAAAGAGGCAGAGAGTTCAAGCTGAACCAGGCTCAGGGTGGGTGGCCATCTGCCTCAACCGGTTGGAGAGAGGCAACGGGGTGCAGGAAAGAGAAGGAGGGAGAGAGAGGGAGAAGAAAGACAGAGAGAGGCACACAGCCCGGGCGCTCATGTGGTTGACGGAATAAACAAACAGTTACAATGATGCAGTGGTTTTCACAAAGTTTACAGTAATCTTGTTGGCAGGACAACACTAGGGACAACACACTATTGTGTGCTGTATATACTGGGTTTAACTGATGCATTGAGACTGAGACATGCCAGTGGTGGAATGGTAGCAGGTACAAAGCCTGAAATTGTGAAAGAATAAAGAGCTAAATGAAAGTTAAAGCATTACTAAAAATCAAACTTGCAAGCAAAAACAAACAATTGGCTACAGCATTTTCTTTCTCTAAATAATTGAGAAATCTGTTGGCCAGCTGTTTTCATATGGGTGTGTTCCTGCTGGAGAAATAAAACTTGTAGACGTCAAATGATGCAATCATGGTCAGTGTTGCACAAAGAAACAAGTGAACCAAAACTTATTCACATGCCAAAGGCAAATCATCTGCAACATAAAAATGTTCTCAGTAACCCAACAGAAAATTATTATTATCAGTAGGCAAACTACAGAGCGGTAAATATAGAATTACCTGAGTTGTTTGTGTGTGTGTCGGTTGGAAAAAAATGTATTTAAAAAAGAGACAGAAAAGACGAGCAATTCAGCTACATACAATCGATCTTAAATTATTAGCTTGTAATTTGAATGCAATGTACAAACCTGGATACACGCACATATTAACCAATATTAGTTGATTTCTTTTCTAACTTACTTGTAGAAAATATTTTGTTATGTTTTAGTTCCTGTGTGGTCATCTGGATTCATTTTGAGGCAGTATTTGACTTTCACGGTGGTTAAACATAGAAAATAGAATCATTAAATTGCTTCAGATTCAATTGGCAGGCATTAAATAATCCCTCGGAGCTGCAGCTATTCTGTACTCCGACCCTGTGGCCTATTGAAAATCTTTGTATTTTTTTTTAATGAATAAAGAATAGTGATACATCAAACACAAGAGAAGAACAGAAACATCTACACTGAGCTTTAAACTGCACATAAAGGACTATAGAAAACTGTGATTTTATTGTGTTTTCTTTTTTTTTTTAAAGGCTGGTAGTGCAACCTTTAACCGTGCCAAGTTACTGAATGTTGGGTATTTGGAAGCACTGAAGGACTACAGTTGGGAGTGTTTCATCTTCCATGATGTTGACTTGGTTCCTGAAAACGATCACAATTTATATGTCTGTGACAAGCAGCCCAAACACTTGGTGGTGGGCCGCAATGCCACAGGATACAAGTGAGTATATGACTAAAACTAAATTCTTGTAGGTTATGAGTCAGCAGTTAAACTTTATATTACCCTTGTGAATAAACATTGCGACATTAATGGATGGCAGTCTCCTCAGGCATGATATTTCCTTGAAAGGTCTGATATTATCTTTAAACAAACTGTAATTTTTCTTCCTAATCTTCAACTCTCAGGCTGCGTTACAAAGGCTACTTTGGAGGAGTCACAGCCATGACCAAAGACCAGTTTCTTCAAGTGAATGGATTCTCAAACACTTACTGGGGTTGGGGGGGCGAAGACGATGACCTTCGCATCAGGTGAGACAAACACAACTGAAAATAGTACTATGATTAGTGTTTTTTTGCACTAGTATGGATCAGACTGGCGGTGGTGCATATTCCTTCATTCATTCACTGATGCATGCGGGTCGGCTGTGTCGCGCAGGGTTGAGCTGCAGAAAATGAAGATTGTGCGACCGCCGGCTGATGTAGCTCGCTATACCATGGTGTTTCACAAACGAGACAGCGGCAATGAAATAAACAAGGACAGGTCAGTAAATGTAGAGATGCAGATAATGTGTTATGCATGTTTTATCATATTTTAGGTCAATTAAATGTGTGATTCCTGATTTGTGCTGTAAGTTAAATCACTTCAATGAACTTTTTTTTCCTCTCAGGATGAGGTTATTAGGACGAACACCACAGGTATGGAGAAAGGATGGACTCAACAGCTGCTCATATAAGACTTTGTCAGTAGAGAGGCTGCCTCTTTATGTGAATGTTACTGTGGATATTGGTAAGCCACAGAGTTGAGATTTCAAACAAGAACCCCTGCTGTGACCAAAAAATATTTTATGATATACTTTATACAGTATGCCAGGCCTCTGATGGCAGAAAAGCCACTACATATGTAAAACACAACACATTAAGCACACAAAATGCACATTGTTTTGATTAGTTTTTCATATTAAAATTGAGTTCAGGTGGCAACTGCATTAGCTGGTATGTCTTTGCATATTTTTGCATATCATGCTTAATTTCTTCATATTATTACCTGGCTTTCTTCATAATGTGTCTGGGAAGCAGAATTCCAAAAATTAAAATAAAACAGTTTTATTTTTCTTTCAAGGAATGATTGGCTTAGATCAAATTAAGAAGTTGGCCATAAATATTCCTGGTACTCAAACTATGTTGTTAAAACAACAAGCTGTCAGACTTCAATTAATTTATGCCTTATTATTTGCCTGCATGATATATTACAGCGTAAAACATGCTGTTTTATAAAAAGCCTGTTACACATGGACAGTGTGTATTTTGTGTGCTTCATTCTGTGGATACATTGACTACAGACACAGGTGTTGTCGTTTATTTTGCCCGAGCAGAGGATTTATAAGCCAGATAACAGAGCACCAGTGTAGGTGTGCAGAGCCTATAAGAGTAAGTTAATGCTGAGGTTTCTTGAACTCAAGGCTAGTAGATATGTTTTATTGAAACTGACATGTTCATGACAAAATGTAGACAATGAGTAATCTGAAATAAAATTAACACTGGATCAGTTCACAAGAATAATATAATAATAATAATAATAATATAATATTAATTGATTTTTTTTTTTTTCAAAACAAACTAACAGCAATAGAGCAACAGGCTTTTAGAGTACCTACAAAAATCCCTCTTAGACTGACCATTATTTTATTTTATACAGTGTTGAAGCACAGTGGATGTGATGAGGTCTTTTTTTAGATCAACGAAAAGGATATAAACAGATTATCATTTAATCTAAGTTAGGTTTAATTTATCTTCATTATCCAAATCTAAAATTTCTGGTGCTTGTTCATAGAAGACAAAGTGAACATATCAGTGAAATTCTAGAAATCTTAATAATGCTAGATATCTGAGGTCTTCCTCTTCTCAAACTCATAAAGTGAACATAATTACTTTGGGTATAAAGTTACAATATAGTTTTGCATCAGTCTTTCATCAGACAACAGATGAACCTTGAGGAAAAAAAAACTCAAGGACCACTGAAGCAATAACAATACATGGAAGGCTGATATCAAGTGATATTAAATTTCAATATTATTTAAAAAAAAAAAAAAAAAGGTTATTGATATTGGTTAACTATATGTCAAATTTGCAGCAGACTTTTTTACTTGTGACAGCAGGAAACACAGGACACAAACCTGAAACTGGCTCGCTCACATGAAATGCTGCCTTGTTAATATTATTTATTATGTGCGCGTTTCATGCTATGACATGTCAAAATGTCTGCTGTGAAAGAGCTCTGTTGGAAGGTTAAAATAATTTCTGCTCTTAAGATTTGGTCTGCTCTTAAATCTCTTGCTGCTCCACAATAATCCTAAATTATTATTGCTGTTTTAACATTAGTAACTAAAATACACTCGGGCTGCCTTGAGCCAACTGGCTTTATTTACAGAGCATGAGAGCTTAAACACCTTTGACTGAACAATGTTTTTGTCTTAAAAAGTATTTCTGTGAGCCATAATATCAAGATGATTTCTTATACTGCATGTTTTTTTAAAAATATATATTAGGCCTTACATGCTTGATTTTTAAGCAGAAATTAATGGGTGGTGGATTCTTATTTATTACACTTTTTTTTAAATGATAATTGCAGTCTTTTGAGAACATCAATATAAATTCTTCTATTTATCGTATGTGAAGAAATTTCAGTCGAGAAAAATCTGCATACGTATACTTTGATCATTGCATGCTGCCTAGAAATGTGTGTCTGATACACTCATATCAAGTTTTTTTTTTTAACAATTTTATATATATATATATTTAAGGTAGTATAGCTACTGTTATGTTACAAGGACTATATGTTCTGTCTTTATTTTTCTGACCAGCAAGTCTAACTTCTTTCAAAACTGAGCAATATTACTAACTATACTGGAAAACATAGTTACAGTTTACTTGAGCCATCCATTATATTTTCATATTCACAACTTTTAGACTAGAGCTTCATAATAACTACAGGCTGCTCTAAACGACAACATTTTCTGTTTGTGTGTGTGTGAATTGTTGCTCCAGTGATGAACTGAACTAGTCTTCTTAAAACTGCATTATGCTGTAGCCATTATGAAGCTCTAAGCATTGTTATACATAAACATTATACCAGAATACAAGTTTTCTATGTTGTTTGTGGCCTGACCGTTATTTCCATGGTTATTTCACCACTTCTGACTGAACCTTTTTGTTTTCTATTTGTTTAAAACTTTCATATGTGAAAATATTCTATGTGCACAAGTTAAAGTACATCTTTTTTTGTAAAATGATCACAACCAAGAAAATTTGTGGTAGTGTTGTAGCATCAAACATTTGACTGACATTTTTTTTTTCTTTTTCTTTTTTTTGAATTTGTAATTTATATGAATAATTGTATGAAATTCAAAGTGATGCCATATAAACCTTTTGAGAATGTCATTTGGTGGATTTGTTTTGAATGTTCCTATGTTGATTTTGGATGATGTGTCATGTTTTGTTTGTGTTTAAGGGAGAACGTTCATCATGACAGAGAAGATTATGCATTTCACTTCTAATAGGATTATTTTCTCTTTAGAAGACATTTAATAAATAGTATTTTTTCTTATGAACTGTCTCGTGGTTTTATGTTTTCTAGGGGAAGCATCTACAGTTTTGGCGCCACAATTTTAACTTACTTGATAACAAATGCCCCTGAGTATAAGAGTGTTTTATTTGTGTCAGTCATGTAGTAAAAAATATCATTAAACCCTGACGATCTTTGACGGGATTAAGCTTGTTTTTCTTGTTGCAGTTGGTGCCATATGTGTAATGTGTGGGGTATATTGGTTTTGATTTTCCTTGGTGCTTGAAGCTTGTTATAAGGTTCACGTCTGATTATTTGGCGGTCCTAATTCAAACCACACTTAATACATCTCGTCAGCACTTTTACATGTGCTCTTGCACGTGGATGGCTTCAGGATAAAGTGAACCCCCTCTAATAATCTTCTCCTTGCTTATTTAGAATATGTAGTATGTTGTATAACAGGCACAGTCCCACCAAAATGGCAACAGCCTGCAGTGCATGGATCTGACCAGTGGAGGGCCTTGAGAGCACAACCCACTCATAATAAAAACATCTTGAATGTGGTCTCTTGTACTTGTTAGCTACAGGAAGATTGCTTTTATTGCCTGGCAATTTGCACAGCAGTAGCCTTGATGCATCATGGTGACAAACTGATTGAGTCTTATTTGTTTGAAATGTGGGAAGACATTCAACACAGACCATTCAAAGGAAAAACAGCAAATCGAGCTTTAAAAAAAGGGCTTGAATTAGGTTCAATTCTTAGTTGGTGAATGAAATTAGCTCCTCACGTTTCCTTTGAAACAACTTAAATTCCTCTGTGACACATTGTTGTTGATAGGAGAGATGCAGGGTGTGAATAGAGGCTACGGCATCCCAAACATGACTAGGCCTCTTTTACAGTCACACAGGCTGGGCTGCCTGATGACGTTATGGTGTTGGTTTCCTTCACATATTAGACAGTTACACACAAATTATTTGTTGAGATATTTATATTAAAGTAAATAAGAAGTCTTGACAAGTTTGTGGGTCTAAAATTTAATTCCATGTGTTGTGCAACTAAGTAAAGATGAGCCAAATGTAATCAGAAGGAGAAAATCATTTAAGCTGCATCTAACTTTATTATTGATGTGCTAGTACAGTGTAGCTGTGCATGATCCACCAATCTACACTGAATAAGTGTTAGTTTTACATTTTAATGAGTTTGGTTGTTCATATTCACAAATGCTGATCAGACCGTTCTGTTCTATCTCAGTGACTAACACAAATCTTTAAATGTGTTATCTTTACCTTCAAATCAAAAACATCTTGCATATAAGGAAGAGTATTTTGCCCTCATTTTTATCATTTCCACGCTCTCACATTAGCAGAAACTAAATTATGCTGCAGATCTGCCAAGATCACTCTGAGGACATGTACTAAAAGTTATGGACAAGAATAACCCCTATTTATTCAGATACAATGAAATGTCTTCTCAGCATGGGCTGATTTTTTTTTCTTTTAACCAGTGTGCAAAGAAAGAGCGGGATGGACAGAATGATGTCATCTCCCCTTCCTATGGTGCAGAAAGAACGCTTTGTCTTGTGGAGGCCAGGCCTAGTCACTAGCTCACATGTGACATTCACAAAAACACTTTTAGCACAAAAACATCAACTCTGCAAGTCAGACCACTTCTATGTTATAAGACTGCCAGTGGTGTTTACGATGTGTACTGTATTGTTCCTGCTTGTAAATTTAGTAACCTTTGTATCCAAGAGTGTAAGAATTCATCAGTGGGATGTTCATATCTATTTACAAGAGCAAGGAGAATAATAACTCATGGAAAAGCAAAGCCTTAGTGCTTTGGATTAAATGTAAAACCCAAACGTGTCAGTTGAATTCACACATGTTCCTAAGAGATTGAACTGCTGCAATGGTTTTTAAGCTATTTTCTAAAACTGATTTAGCAGCCATGCCAGGCAATGTCAAATTATTTTATTGCGGTGGTACCACTGCACAGCAACAAGGTCCAAGGATCCTTTCTCTGGGTGATCCAGTTTTCTCCCACAGCTCAAAGACATGCAGGTCAGGTGAACTGAAAGCTCAACAGAGCCCACAGAAGTGATATGTGTGTCTGTGTTTTTTTTTTTTTTTCTGTTTGTTTTTTTTGTGTGTGTATGTGTCAGTTGCTTTTCCTTTGAGTCACTGCCATCTGGAACAGGCTCTCCCATTAACTTGAATAGGAATAAGAAGGTAAAGCAGAAGGATGGATGCTGTGCCTTATGGGCAAGGAGAAAAACATTTTTAGAAAACATAAAAAAAAAAAAACCTTAATTGGAATACGTAACCAGAATACTTAAAACTGCTATAATAAATTGATATATTTGTATGAATTTTATATGATCATATGATTATTTATATCTGAATGGGGTCACTTGTAGAGAGTAGAATCATCACCCAACTCTGCAGTCTTTCTCAGCTCCACTGATCGCTTCAGCGTCTGTCAGCTCATTGTTTTGGTTTTCCGGCCTGCGACTGCACTGCTTTGGTTCACTCACATGGTTCTCATCAGCATTGTGTTTGGCAGCAGTAGACAGCAACAGAAAAAGTAGCCTACCTGCCCAGCACTAAATAGTAGATAGACACAGTTAGCAACAAGCTGGTGAACATAGTGTAGCATTTATCAGCAAACGAGTCAGATATTTCCTTCAGGCATCGGTGGAGACCAAAGCAGAGATAAAAAAAAAGAGTGAATATTGGAGGTGGACACAGACATGACCCCAAATTAATGATAGTGTTGCTCTGGAGCTGCTGGATGTGTAAATACGCAACAGTTTGCTAACAAATTGACCACACCAACCTGTAGGTGATGATACGTCAGGGTTGTGTTTAGAGCTTGTTTCTACTGCCCTAAAGTGACCAATAAAACTAGGTTTCAGTATGCTAAGCTAGTTGTGCATCATCTGAGCTCTGAGTAAACCTTTATTTCTATGGAAAGGCTGGTTATGAGGCCAGGAAGTGTCTTTGAAACTACACTGTAACAATAAGTGTATGTAAGTAGGTAATAACCAGCAATAGCTTAGTATTGTGGGTCACATTTGTAAGCCAGAATCTGTTGATATTTGACCTTGATATCAAAAGTTGCTGTTTACTCCAAAACCAAACCAGTTTTGCAACAGACATGTATATAGATCATTTGACAGGCTGTTTGATGGCTGCTTGCAGTAGCTTTTCTGCCTACAGTTGTGGTGTTAAAGTGTAATTGGACAATTGTTTACAACTCAGTAAATTACTGCGGTCAGTGGTGGTTTGACAGTGGTCCAGCAGGGGTAGATATACTGATATTCGTAATTAGGTCTTAAAATATACCTCAGGCAGAGTTGGGTTAGGGTCTGTCATTTTCCACATGAAACTGTTGCAAATATGAGGAATATGTCACGAGTACCCAGGGAGTTTTACGTGAACCTTCTCAGGCACTGTACTCCACTGCAGGGATGCAACTGGATTACATTTACTCAAACAGGAAGCAACCAATATACTTGGAGTTCTGACTGAAAAGATGAACTACTTTATAATGTTAACATCAATGGTATACATTTAACGCATTCACTAATTATGTGTTTGTGATAAAGTTACAGTCCAGTTTTCAAAAGAAAAAAGATGACATGCATAGCAGTTAGTAACGACAACCATGTGTTGTCCACCCCCCCACCCCCCCAATTTCCCCCCATTTCCCATCTGTGCCCTTCAGGCCCTCACTTCAGTCACCTCCCACTTCCCTCTTCCTTCAGAACCCGTCTGTTTTTGTTTTCGAGCTCGGGCTCTTTGCACAGGAAATTGTATACATTGGGAGCATTCAGGAAGGCAGAGAGCAGCTTTCCCGTTAGCTCTGAGTTTGGGCAGATGAAAAAAAATGGATAAAAGAGGTCAGTAATTCCTAAAGTAGGAGAGAAACAGAAGTCAGCTGTTCTCCTCCCCTCACTTCACTTCCCTCCCCTTTACACAGTCTCAACATTTCAAAAATCCCTGCCACACCACTGCCACGAATCCAACTCTAAATGCAGAATATTTGAAAAATCTTAAAGGGAAATCCAAATAAAACTAACAACTAATGTCCCTGAGGGGATTTGCCTCTCTTGATACATGTATGCCTCCTCAGCCACAGAGAAACCAGTGAAAAGGGGAGACTGTGTGGAATGAAGGAAAAGAGGAGGAGATAAAAAAAGGAGCAGAGAGAGACTGGCTGGGGGTAAAAAAACAACAGGAAACCAACCGATTCTAATGCTGTTTCTGCAAATCTTTCAGAGATAAAGCAGCGGACTGCCACGTCCCAGCCAAGCAGCAGTCACACCGGGTCTTTTCTCTGGTCATCACTGGAAATAATGACAATCTAAAGGACTTAAAGTTTAAAACGTGACGTCACTTCTGCTCTCAGCCTCCAACCGTGTGGTTAGTCAGAATGTGAGCGGATGCAGAGTTTTGGGAGCTGATTGCTGGGATTTCTATGTGGCTGCTTTTTGACCTACAAACTCAACCTTTTCCTCTGGGTCATATGGATCAATCGCTGTGTTTTCAAGGATCGTTTTGTTTTAATCATCTGGACGACTAACTGGAGCCACATGAAGAATAAAGGGACTAAGCAGAAGTCCAAAAAGAAAGGAAGTGAAAATGCGTTCGGCTGTGACCTGACAGAACATCTCCAGAATTCAGGACAAGATGGTAAACTTTTTTTTACTTTGCTTTCTTTGAAATCCAACACTCTTTTACAAGCAGCTATCATCAAACTACACGTGATTTGTTTCATCAGTTATGGGACCCATACTCATATAAACTAACATTTATATGAAAATTGAGCTTTACTGGTCATTTCCTAGATTATCATGGTTATTATCACCCTTTAAATGCACATTATGTGGTGAAATTAAGACAAAAAAGACAAAAAGAGCCTTTATGTAACCAATACAGGCTTTGTTCACCGGTTACATATATGAGGTTGTAGGTGTACATATGTTTTACATTTAGGAAGGCCATTCATTCACCCATTGGCTGTATTAAATGGTCATTTGTGACTTTGGGTGTGGCTCTTACATTTTTTTGTGTTAATTTCCTACAGTGACTATAGTTCCTATGACTATTTCTGTGTCTAACAAAAGACTGGGCGGTGCTGCTGGTTAAGGATGAGAGAGAAATAATGAGACAAGAGAAAAAAGAAAAAACAAACAAAACATATAAAATATCCAAATATATGGGCAGGTTTGTTTGAGAGCTCTCTATTCTTTTGTTTAATAATCCCCTTTCCTTCTTCTGCTCATCTGCCTTGATCTTTTCTTACAACCATCATCTGTGATTTTTTTTTTGTTGGAAGCACCATCATTATGTAAAAAGAGAAAAAAAAAAGTGAACACAAGTCTCCCACGTGCAGAGGAATATGAATAGCCGCGTTGAGGATAACTTTAAGGATGACCTGTTCGAGTGGACACACACTAAGGAGGGGCATTCAGTGCAGGAAGTGAGGGAGGAGGTATGAGTCGTACCCCTTCGTTATGGATGTCCAGCAGACATATTGTGGACTGCCTTTTAAAGAGCAAATCAGTACCACTGGAACAAACTAACAGAGACACAACATAGATGTTAAGCTTAGATATGAAAAAAACATTTTATTTTGAAATATATCTCTTAGCAGAGTATTAAAGTGTAACTGATTCCATGGTGTTCTCTACATAGCTCTACTTTGGTGTGTTTACAGTTAGAGTAGGGATAGATCCCGTTTTAGCATCACAACCCTACTGAAAATCTTACACAATGTTGTGTTCTGATAATGTTTGTTTACTTTCAGGTTCGTAAAATTATAGTGAAATATCTCAAATAATAATTGGTTGTTGAGAGTGATGAATTAAAATGCAAAGTCAAAATCTGTGATGGACCTGAAAAACGTATGAAACTCAGACTTCCTGTCTCACACAGACAAAAGTGACCATGAGTTTAAAGTGCCTTGAGAATAGTTTAAAGGTGATTAGGTCAACATACAATAATGTTACTATAAAATATGTTTATAAAACCTGACAAAAAGGAGAAAGAATGCAGGGCTGTTAAAGGTTTTTGTAAAGCCACCCACTGAGCAGCAGCTGCAGTTCCAGTATTTAATGGAATATTAAACATTACAGCAGAAACAAATCACTAAATAACTTGGATCTACTGAGTCTGAGTCATATTTTAACTTGAAATGATCTTCGCCACGTATCACCCATTGATTTAATTTCATGTTACTTTATAATGTCTGTAAAAATCAGCAGAGAGACAAACTATATTTTGGAGCCTCTACGAGAAGCAGAAATCTTCCCTCAGTGCAGAGACTGACAGACACTAAATGAAGGCTGCAGAGTTGTCCATCATCCAGCATCTGACCACAGGCATGTCACTGAAAGTCCAATTAAGTCAAATAGGTCAGTGTGTAAATGGAAGATTCTTGGTCTGCAGTGATTACTGAGAAACTGACTACTGACAAAAAAATTCACTTCATTTTGTGGAGGATCGATTTTACTTTTTTGGGAAGGATGATCATTTTTTTTACTTAGGAATAAAAGACGTCTAGAGACAGACAGACAGAACAATGTAACTACCAATAGAATAATCCATTATTGGTACATCTTGAAATAAAATAATGTTTTTTCAGCAAGTCATTTATATAAATGTAAGTTAGCATGTGGAACTGAAACACTCAAAAGATGTTAAAGAAACTATGTTTTTGATTGTTTTTATCTATGAAAGACAGTTATGTCATATTCACTGTTGATTTGCACATGTGAATACCAAGTAAATGTCTTTAAACCTGCACTGATACACAATTAATTACTGATTAATACTTTATATTATGCCTTGTTAGAGGTTAAAGGTCAATTTATTGCTCTATGAAATTTCATTTTGTTCTTTATATCTGAAATCAACCACTTGATAGAGATTAGTATCAAGCCAAGATAACTCAACATTTTATATCCGCTCACCTACACAAGTCTGCAGTTAAAAGGCTTCTGATCTCATGCTTTTGAAAAAAATGGCCAGTTTGTGTATCCAAGCATGTGTGCATCGAAACCTGCAGAACATGATTCAAATGGATCAGCTTTTTCCAAGTAGACCAATTTGCAACCAATTGTTATTTTCAGTATTAGCTAAAGGGAAGTTGTGGTCTGACTGAATCAGAGCATGTGAGTTAAGAGACACTGCTGAGCCACAGTTAAATCTGTTGAGATGTATTTGTGAGTGCGGCCAAAGGCAGTTGTATACAGAAGGTGATGTACTGCAGCTGAGAAAGCTGTGTAGGTCAGTGGTAACATTTCAAAAGCCGTTTTCTATTAGAGGAAATGTCGTAAGTAATACCAGCTACAAGGACTGGGTGTGTCAACCTTCCTTTGAAACAAACAAACCATTTTTAACTTCCTGTCAAAGTCCACCTACAATCAGCGGCCCTAAGGGATAGAAAAGAGCCATGGTGGAGCAAACCCATACCATGAAGTTAACCTTATGTGCATTGTTACCACTGGAACGTTACATTTAAAAGTGTTTCCTTCTTCTGCTTTTAAGATTTAAGATTTAATAAAAGAGCTGAAACAGGAGAAAATAAATGTCTTTAAGATTCTCTGACATGTTTCTCAAGAAAATAATGACTAACACACTTTATTAACTCCAGTTCCTCAGGTTCTGAAGAAATGTGCAGAGTTTATTGAAAAGCATGGGATTGTGGACGGGATCTACAGACTGTCGGGGGTCACCTCAAATATCCAGCGTCTCAGGTACTCATGCAACATGTTTGTTTACAATAATGGCGTCGCAATAGCAAAAACTCAAGCTGCGTGAGGCATCAAGAACGCCAAGTCATAGAAAATATTATAGACATCAGATGATGTAATTAAAAAGAATGATTTTTGTAGCAGAACATGAGCGTTTAAAATCCTGGACAACAGTGCATGTACTGTATGTATCAGCTCTGTACACATTTATCTATAATTACATGTAAATATCCTGTTTGGAGCCGCTCCAGTTATTCAGTAAAAATTGATGCTACGCTAAATCAAATGCTATTATCTCAAATCATGCCCATAAAATTAGTTCCATCTAATTATTTTATCCATGCAGACTAAATAAAATGTCATGGTTTATTTAATTTACATAATATTGTTTTCTCAGACTAGGATTGAACCTGTTTAGCATCTTTATTGCTGTTTATTTTTTCATAACAATGTCAGTCATCCAGATAGCTTTCAATACAGCAACAGTAGGTAGCAGGGGTGTTAAACAATCAAAGCATTCAGCTGTGTGTGTGTGTGTGTTGTGTGCGCAGGCAGGAATTCTGCTCTGAGGCGTGCCCTGACCTTACAAAGGAAGTGTACCTCCAGGACATCCACTGTGTGGGTTCCTTATGTAAGCTGTACTTCAGGGAGCTACCCAATCCTCTGCTCACATACGAGCTATACAGCAAATTCACCGTGAGTACATTCAAATCGCACTTGCAGTTTCGATAAAAGGGTGAAACATCCAATGGTTTTACATCAGATTTATTCTAAATTCATGCTTTACAAACAGTAATAAGTTACAGAGAGAATGGCAACCCCAGCACTAGAAGTCAGTAAGCAGTATTTGTTCCACATGACACTTCGGTATATTTGTGTCAGCACTATACAGACCTCATGAGTGTGACCTCATCTCTCTGGCTCACTATTGATCTGCTGTTTTCATCTCTTCCCTAGAGACTACAGTACAATTAGCAGATGTCAACTGAACTGTAGGCAAAGAACATTACATATTAGAAAAATACAAAAAAGCATTCCTTCTACCACACTTTGATTTATCATCATTATCATCCTCTATTAAAAGTGGTAGTTTTGTTGCCTTATAATCATAAAAGGATGATTTATGAGACTGAGAGAAGTGTTTATGATGTGTTTTAGCTTTCATGTGTGGTATGTTTTATTGTTTTATGTGGGCTAGCCTGTTGCTAGGCCGTCCTGACAAATAACAGTTTTTTTCTGTTGCACTGTTTAACCGAGGAGCTTGATTTAAGGATGAAAACAGTTTGTTTCCGGCCCTTCTGGATCACAGGGAGGTTTAAAGTATGCAGCAAAGCAAAAGCAAAAATATTAAAAGTATAATGAGATCCTATACGACATCCTGTGCGGCCAAAATTGGGGTGACACAAAATCTACATTTAATACCAGGGAGAAACTGTATGGCCACATTTTCTGGGTGAACTGCAGATGTGAAAGACACTTTAGACAGGAGCAGGGGAGAAGGAAACAGGAATACCAAACTGTAAGACCTGATTCATGATCTCTGTGTAGCTTTCTGTGTACCTTGACGGGCCATTTGCATACCTTGGCATTCATACTTCTCTTGCTGCTCATGCCTGAAAACTCCAGTAGTCCAGTGTTTTACGAAAAATCAGGTCCTCACGTGTCGTAATATAAAAAACAACACCATACCATTACCCTATTGTAGAACTCTCTTGTTGTCTTGGAGTGAATGAACTCATTCTTAAGTTTTTAGATGGGTTGCACACTGAATGACACCCCCCCCCCCATATTTCCATTCCCACATCCATTAGACATTTTGCTGTAGATTGTAGCCTTTTTGGATAATAGCACAAGACCGCACACGAGCACATTTGGACAACCTCACACATGACTAACAAATGCAACAGCTGTTTCGGGCCTCAATCGCATTAGTTTGACTGCACGCTCTGCAGCATGTCCGTCTACATTTGTTCAGCGGGGAGAGTTGGTGGAAGCCTGCAGGACTATGGAGAGCAACCATAGCTTTACGCTGAAGTTCATCAATACATTGATTGTGAACTGGTAATCTTGGGGAAACTTTCATCAACCATAATCATGAACCGGAATGAAATAATAAACACAGTGCTGGCTAGGCACGGGGATCAGTCATCCAAATCTGTTTTTTATTTCTGCCTAGAAAATTCTTTTGATATGGACATCTGTCTGTTTTACATGCAGGGAGTGGTCTCAGTCCAGGGTGATCATGAGAGACTTCTATACATTCAGATGGTTATCAAAGAACTGCCGACCCCTCACTTCAGGTGAACTTTTTTACTTAAGCCCTATTCTCAACTATTGTCCAACTGATGGTCCTGTTTGCTCGTACTCACTAATAATGTTGTAATAAATGTGACAAGAAGTGTTTATCAACTGTCTCCAGGACTCTGGAGTACCTCATGAAGCACTTGGCCCACCTCGCCACCTTAAGCACCCAGACAAACATGCATACACGTAACCTGGCCCTGGTGTGGGCTCCAAATCTGTTAAGGTGAGTTTTGTTTCATGGATTTGCTTGAACTATTTCCTTTCATATAAAAATAATCCTCTTCTTTTTCAGTTGATGCAGAACGAAATGCAGAGATGCTTTACAAGCACAAAAATGGGATTAGGAAAGTGTTCTTACTTAAAGCTTGAATGAATTTCACAGGCTGTTTTGGGAAAATGTGCAAAAATAGGATTTCAACCTTTCTTATCTTCATCTCTTATTGTCTTAGATCTAAAAACATTGAAGCTTCATCTGGTAACGGAGACATGGCTTTCCAGGAGGTGCGGATACAACAGTCAGTGGTTGAGTTTATTTTAAACCACACAGATCAGATCTTCAGCAGTGGTTCAGTGCAAATCAAACCCAAAGAAGGTATGACATTTAAACATACGTTTAATAATGGAGTTTTGTAGGCCTGAGAGATTTGCTAACTCACCATTGGATTATTATTTATTTTTCATTATTATTATTATTATTATTATTATTATAACTACATGTTTCCAAAACGGACTTATTCTACTTCTTCAGGACCGAGTTTGATGTGTGGGGAGAAGTACGCCACGCTGCCCATCAGTGGCCAGTGTGGGCCGATGAAACTGATGAGCCTGGAAGAAGCTCAGGCCCGCTCCTTAAGTCCGAACCATCCTGTACATAAAGAACGTCAGCGAGAGAACAGTCTCCCTGATACCAGCACTGCCACGCTCTACCACACCGTCATAGACATATCAGACAGCAAGTACGACAGATTTGAATTCAGTCTATTGAGTTGCTATGAGTATAATTTACAAACAATATGCTTGATGCTTGAGTGTTTGATGCACGTATGATGACTGTATTTATTACTGTCAGGGCAAGCTGTGGGATGGCACCGGACTTAACTATCTTTGTTTGTCTTTTAGGAGAAAGTTTTCTGGAAAATCAAAGAAGTGGAAGTCCATCTTCAACCTGGGAAGGTCTGTGGACTCGAAGGGAAAACTGAGCCGGAACGGTAGTGTGTTCATAAGAGCACAGGGGATGACAGGTAAAGTGTCAAACAGGGAAGAGGTCGCTAAGTGTATATGTTGTTCCTGGAGATTAAGAAAGTCCAATGTGAACATGAACAGTTCCCAAGCCAAACAACAGAGAGACAGACTTGTAACACCATGATGTAGAAAGCTAGAGATCATCATTAAAGGACAACTAGGAATGGAAACTTGAAGAGTGTCTAAGATCTAATCTTCTGCACATACAGAAGGGGCTGCATGTTTTAATGTCAGGCACCTGATTGGATTATTTTAGATCAATTCACCACCCAAGGTGATGCACGATGAATCTAAGGGATTAAGGGGTAATTCCTCGGCTAGGAAATGAGAGAAAACTAAGTTCCTCCTCACAAAAATCAGTTCCTTTTTAAGGGTTTTCGATCATATATGTTATTATACTCGCCACCTCCTCGGGCTTGTCAGATTATTCATATGAAACAATTTGCGAAGGAAAAATCACATTTTCATTGATCTCTGCTCAAGACCATTTCCATATATTGAAGAATGTGTGGAAATTTGTTTCTTAATACATTTCAAATTTAATTTTAATGCTTCCCCAAAAGTGATTTGCTGTCCACGTTCTATGAAAGTGTAATAATATCAATGGAACTTTTTTTTTTTTTTCACAGAAAAGGCAGCTCTGCGTCCATCCAGAAGTATGGAGTCTTTATGCTCCTTACCAACAGGTGGGGCTAAAACCTAAATATACAGTATTTACTTGCATGAAAATTTCATTAGCATGAAAAGTGTAATTTTACAAACTTTAAGTGTTGTCTATTCCCTCATTATAAATGAGTTGTTGCATCTATAACCGTGAGCTGATTTTACACGTTTTGTTCATCATGTTATTTTTATTGCACAGATGATGACAGAACAGGAAACAACAGTCCAGCTGGTGGACCTGGCAGCATTTTTGCTCCAGATGTAAAATCCAGAACACTGGGATCTGACTCGCTCTATGACCTGAGCGAACATGACCAAAACTGGGAGTTTAAAGGGAAGAAAGATGGCGGGGCAGCAGGTGGCTGGAGCTCTAGCATGAACCAAAAAGAGTCACCAGGTGCTTCTGCACCCCCTCATAAAACACTGCCAGAGCAACTGAAGGTGTTCAAAGGTGATGACCTCAGCGGCTACAAGCCTACGTCTCCAAAAAACAGGAGGATGTTGTACTCGGGCTCCTCCCACAACAGCTCGTCTCGGCCCTCCTTCCCAGGAAGCTTCTTCCCGCTTGAGTCCTCGCCAAGGCATCAGCGGCGAGCCGTCAACATATCTGAGCCTTTTGCTGTTTCTGTACCCCTGCGTGTGTCAGCTGTTATCAGCTCTAACAGCACGCCGTGCAGAGGGCCCGTCAAGGACAAAGCAGCTAGTCTGAAACCCTGCAAAGAGACCTCAGAGCAGAGCAGCAACAGTGGAAAGAGCAACACTTTCCCCCAACTGCAACCAAAGAAGCAGGAAGGAACGGAGAAGAAAAATACAGAGGAGCTGACCTCTAGAGCACCGCCAGAGGGTGACTACATCTCCCTTTATCATATTTTAAAATGGCTTGTTCAGGTCAAACCTGATTTAAGATGTAATGAAAACTATTTTAAAACATGCTATTTCCTCAGATACAAGCAAAGAAGCTGTGCCAGAAGGTCAAGGAGGGATGAATACTTCTGAACTGGAACTGCCGTCCCTTGCAACTGCAAGAGAAGGCGAAGATGCAGTGCCACCTCCTGGGAAAGAAATGCACAAGCAGCCCATAGCTATACAACTGGTAAATGATTTGCTGTTAAAGCATAGTTAGTAGTGCAGCCACTCGAGCAGAATTAAGTTTTTTTTTTAAGATAAAGAGCTTAAAATACCAAAAGTAAGTCAAATAGCAAAAGTTAAAAAGCAAAAGTCAGCAAATAAAAGTCCACATCAGTATTTGGTCACTTGTTAGTGCCTTCAGATTTAACACTGGTCCATCCAATTCTCAGAAAGTCAAATTAAGATTGTCCTCTGAATCCCAATTTTCCTGCTTTAGGAGGAGAGACATTTGTTTGAATGTTGAATTGTAATTCTTAAATTTCCCAAAACCCTTATTATTTAAATTTCTACAGAGCTAATGTGAGGATGAATATATTTTGGCCACATATCTATGGCTCAGACCAGCACATAGGGATGACTATGGCTGTTTTTTCTAGAAATGAACAGTGGAATCATTTTGTTTATATTTAATCCCGTCCGTTTTGTTTTTGTTTATCATTTATTTCTTCTCAGCGCAAGGAATGTCCCACTGGGAAAGAGCTGTGGTCTGACTTCCACCAAGAACTGAAGATAACTGAACCTGAAATTGACCTGCTGGACGAGACTTTTAAACCAGTTTTCAGCTCCAGGAGCATTTCTGAGGGCGCAAAGTTAACGATGGATGTTAAGTCAAAGCGAAGCCGCAGCTCTCCGTCCCTTTCTTTGTTATGTAGGGAGCAGTCTTCAAATACCTCTCTGAGTGATCACGCAATCGCCACTGGATCAGGCTCTGCAAAGAAACAACCCTCTGAGTCAGATATCTTATTTTCTCTTCACAAAAACATTGATGCAATCGATGATAGAAGCAGAGAAAATGCCTGCCCTGCTGGAATGGTGGATGAGAAACAGAAAAAACTGCATCTAAAATTAAAACCCATGAGCAAAGATGAACCCGCTTATACCAAGCGGTTCCAACTTGCTTTAAAGCAATCATGTTTAGATAAAGTTACAAATCCTTTGACAGCAGAGGATTCCACAACAATCGGAGGCTTCTCAGGATCAGATCATTCAGACAAATCACAGAAACATGAAATTCCTCAAGGCGACAAAAAAGTCTCCTGTGATGGAGCAAAGAAGAGTGTGATTCCTGAGTTGGAGGTTATTCAGAGGCTTTCCGTGTGTCTGGAGGAGAGACGTAACGTGGAGCTGCCAAACCTTGACGATGAGGAGGGATGTGCAGGGAACTCGGAGGAGCTGGACTTGGTGGAGCCCTGGGAGGATCTTAGCTCCACCAAGCAGTGGGTAACCAGCCCCCTCCACTCACCTGACATAGAGGAGTTGTTTAACCAGCTGTCACCCTTCAGCTCTCGTGGGGAAACTCTGAGCCCAGAGGAGGGAAAGATTTCATCTCCTTCAGTTGATAATAACAAACAATCTCCCATGAAGAGCACTGAGCGCTTCTCGGGAAGCATTCCTCAAACGTCCAGTTGCAAACCTGAAACTAAATGGATGTATTTGCCGTCTGTACCTACACGGGTCGGCGTGAGCAGCAATAACTCAACACAACCTCACACAGGAAAATGCAGTTCAACAAAACAGAAGAATACAGTGTCATCTCATAGGTTTTACAGACAGATGTCTTACGAGGCAGCTGCTCCAGAGAAAAGAGAGGAGAACTGCTTTTACAAGCACAGGCCATATTCTCTTAATTTAGACCTGGGGTATAGATGTATCAGAGACATTTCTAATCAGCAAAACTGTAATTCCTCAGAGTTTTCATCTTGTCCGAGAGGATTACTAACCTCGTCTGGGAATGTAAACAACGGGCTGCCTTCTGAGTTGGAGTTGTTTCTGAATGATCGGCAGGCGCCTCTACGCCGAAATTCAGCCCCGGTCAGTGTGTCATCAGTGCGAACAGCCTTCATGATAAAAACATGCCAGGCCAAAGCTGTGCCTGTCATCCCTCCAAAGGTGCAGTACAGTCAGATACCTCACTCCAGACACGAGAAGGATTTTGATGCATTGAAGGAACAAGAAAAGGAATGTCCTAAAATGAGCGCAGAGAAAAGCAACGCTGCACCTCCTCAGATGATGTCAGATCTAAAGGAGGAGCTGGAGAATAAAGAGCCGGCCCCTAAACACCAAAAACACCCAAGTGTGGAGAAATCTGCTGAGTCTGTGAAGACCACATCTACTCCAGAACTGCCAGTCATAACAAGGAGACACGCTCCCAGTCTGGATGTGTTTGTAGATTGTCCCAGACCTAACAGAGGGAACCTTCTACAAAGACCGTCCTTTAGGAACAGGCAGAGGCCTCAAAGTCTCATCCTGCTCAGCCCGCCTTTTCCCATCATGGACTACCCACCGTCAGGGGACGATGGCAAGCTCCTGTCGTCCATCAAGGGCCTGAATGACGCCTCAGCGGGCAATGTCTTTTCCAAAGAGATGGCGGAGAACTTCAGGACGGCGGAAGGGATCACTCTTCAAAACAAAATGACTATTCCAAAAAGCGGACAGAGACTGGAAACATCGACCAGCTGCTTCTATCAGCCGCAGAGGAGGTCGATGATATTTGACAGCAGGAGCCACAGGCAGATTGAGTGACTGGAGGTGCAGTCAGTGATTATGAGACTGAAACAGTATATTAGGAAACCCGTTGTTAATCACAGGGTTTTGTTTGCTATGATTAAATTCGTTTCTTGAGGGACAAAGTTATAGTTGAAATACTGATTCCTTTCACAAAAGTCCTGAAGCGTTTGAGAAAGATTTGGTGAAGCCATGGTGTATGTAACAGCCAATTAAGCAATAATTTTTTTCAAAATATTTGCCATTATCAATTAATCTGCTGATTGTTTTCTTGATTTGTAGATGAATTGTTTGGTCTATAAAATATCAGGGTATAGAAAAAAAAAAAAATTCTCGTCACAATTTCACAGAGCCCAAGCTAACGTCTTCAAATGGTTGGTTTTGGCAAAAAAGTGGTCCAAAACCCAAACATTCAGTTTATTATCATAGAAGATGTAAAAACAGCTGATATTCAAATGAGAGAAGTTGGAACCAGTGACAATCACACTTTTGCACAAAAATTGTGTTAGATTTAACTTATATCTGAGATATGGAAATAAAAGTCTACCCTGTCATCCACAGTATGTGGTACTACACAGTCATAGTACATCACTGCCGGATCTTCTCAGAAGATTTAGATATTTAACTAAAAAATTAGCTGCTGCCATTTGGCACAAAAAGAAACACTGCCAGACTTTATATAGGACATATTCAGGAAGATGGAGTGTGAAACCTTGACAAAAAAAAAGAAGAAAACAAGAAAGTAACAATAACTCAACACTTTACTGGCTTATTCCAGAGGTTTTAATCAGTGGTGGAAGAAGTATTCACATACTTAAGTAAAAGTACCAGTGTGCTCATTTAAAAATACTCCATCGCAAGTAAAAGTGCAGAAGTATTATCCGCACCATGTAGTAAAATGTCCCCTGTGACTGATAAATTACTGGCTGTTAATAATGATGCAGCAAAGCGTAAACAGCATTTTACTAATGTTGCTGATAGAGGAGGAGCGAGTTTTAACTCCTTAACATACATTTGAATAATTTAGTGCAGTGGTTTCCAATATAAGCATCAGGACCCTGCAAAGGCTCACAGGACAAATCTGTGGTACAGTTCTCGAGTACATCTACTTAGTTACTTTCCATCACTGGTTTCAACCATATCTCACATTTGTTCTCTGTGAATGAAGGTTATTTGGTTGTCATGGTGACATACCATTGAGCAATCTCCAATCACTGAGGAAGACCGTGAGATACAGCTGAAATCTCCAGAAAAAGCTAAAAATGTAAGAGTAAAATCTTAAGTTTAGGCTTTTAAATTAAACCTAAGTTTTTGATCAATTCATAAAGATTGTTTTTAAACATATCAACAGCCAAGTTCATACTGAATTTGATTACAACCTCTTCACGTAAATATTAATGTCTGAAGTGAATTTATCCCTGAACATTAAGAACTCTTGATACAGGAAGTGTACAGTAAAAGTTAGCAAGACATAAAATGGTGAACTGAAGAACTGACAATGACACTGTTAACAGTTTAACAGCCCTGCATTTGATCATGTAGATGAGGATGTGTTTATTTATCTCAATTACTAAAGTAAACTTGATACCTATGACGCATTATACTGTATGTAGCTATTGGCTCTGTGATAAGCTGATGTCAATGTATTTTTTTAAACTAATATTTAAAAAGAAATTCCTCTTTCTGATTTAAATATATCAGAATCGTAATTAATAGTATTTACCCACTGAAGGACTTTAATGTGTCTCTTTATTTTCTGTAATTACTTTGTATTTTATGGCAGTTTTTTATTTGTTATTTTGTTTTGTTTTTTTTGACAATAATGATGAACCAGCATTGTAGAAATGAGGAATGATGTTGTCAAAGGTAAAATCCTGGAGCTGCTCATCTGACAATAAACTGGAGGCAGACTTTGTGCACACTGACTGTATTCAGTGAGCTTGGACCTTGATGGTGCTTTGAGTCAAAGTCAGATGATGGATGGTATCTCCAGGTTTTGTGTCTTTTCTTCGCATCTGATATAATTACCTTTTGTGCTATTTTTGTGTGAGCACCCATGTAACATAGCTGGGCTGTTAAAGGAGGTAACAGTATTTTTTAAAGATGATTTGGATGTTGTTGAAGTTGCAGTGTGTTTTATACTGTAGTCTGGGTGGATTGGATGAATGATTACACTGTTAATCAGGTAATGTTTAGATGTTAATGGAGATTTCAGTGTTTTTTATTTGTTTTGTAACTTTTGTATACTTGTTGATAGTGCAAATGATTGAACAGTTTGCATTCCTTGGAAAAACACATGAAATGAGAATTTTGGGACAAGAGTTTTGCCTTAATTGTCAGATGATGGAAGTTTGTCTGAAGTAATGTACATAAGACACTTGAGTTTTGTTACATCAAAAAGTTATGAGAATAAAAAAGTTATGAAAGTCATTTGCTCTGTAAACGAATCACTTTCATGAAAACATACAATGCCAAGCAGTGATATTCTCACTAAATGGTAAAATGCAACTGTGTATTTATTACCCTGGGTTTAAACATGACCAGAATAAGGACCAGGCGTCATTGGTCATGCAACGTCATCAGTGTCATTTGCTGTCCCAAATTAATATTACACTTATGACAATAACCAGTTAATTAGTAGTAGTAGGTCATAATTATAGATTATAGTACTTAGAGTTATGAGAAAACTACTGAGATAGTTCCAATCAACTATGAGTTTCTTTATTGATTGCAGTGTTTTTCCCAAGTGAAGCACTCCTTTGGTTATATTGAATAACACTCTTTATAATACCACAGAATAGAAGAAGCTCAGGTTATTAATATTCCTCATATAGTCACACAAGATGTTGCTTGGCAGCACAGCAAGACGGTGAAGTGTGGCCTCTCTGTGTGGAGTTTGCATGTTCTCCTCCATATCTGTCTAATTTTAGTAATGGCCTGCATGCGCGACCGTCTGTTGGTTAGTCCAACTGTTGGTAGCTGTGTAACAACTGAGGTATTTAAGATACTTGATGAAAGCACTTGTTGCTATTTTTCCTCGGAGTGCACAGAATTTCAAAACTTCCATACAGTCCTTCAGAAAGCAGCTCAGTGAGAGGGGCAAGATAAAAGGGGCCGTGGTGCTGCTGTGTGAATGAGGAGCATTCAAGGGGCCCCCTGAGAGGGATGGGGCCCTTTCCAGATCAGATGTGATTCTGCACCCGGTTGCATGTGTTGCGTGTGGGACCTATAGCAGCGTGCCTGCTATTTTGCTCTTGCTTGTGATGTTTACAAAACTCATGTTATAGGCAACAGTATTGAAATATTATTTTAATCTTTAATAAAACAGGAAGTTCTACAAAGCATGGCTGTGCAGTTCATGTTGATCAACTGCCTCTGGTCTTTGCCACCAGATGACGCTCCTGCTCCACACTGCGGGATCTGAACAAGCCACTAAACTGCAGAATAAACAGACAGACTTTCTGAAGACTGTCTGTGCTTCAGGTACGTGAAGTACTCCCAACTCCTCTACATACAGTGTGGCCGAGAAGTGACGGTTAACCAGTCTCTATCTGTGGACGAAAACACCACCGCCCTGTGCACCATGCCGCGGGAGGCCTATATGTGTTGCGTCTCTGTGTTTGCTTGTGTACGCGTGGGTTGTGCACGCGCTATGTGTGCGTGTAGCTTCCCTTCACCGAAGACACTTGCACTTGCCTCTTTTTACTTTAAACTGCATGTTTTCTTATTGTAAAACCACAATCTCGTCCATTCACCAGCACAGGGCAGAGCAGTTCTGCTGCAGCTTGTTTCCTACTATACAGAGATGCTGCACCACAGCACACTGATCAGGCTGCATACAGTAGGAATCACAGGGCAGGGTGCACAACACGTGTTTGCTTTAAAAAGTCAACACTAAGACAGAGTGGAAGACTTGGTGCAAGAAATAACTCTATATGCACTTAATTATTATTACATATCTTTATTTTTAAATGAAATTAAATTTAGGTTTATTTGTTGTTGTTTTTTTACCTGGACGATAAAATATAAGAGATCACCGCCTGCTTAGTTGCTTCCAACTCATATCTCAGCAACCAGAGTGGTCTCCTGTTCTCGGGTTTCAAGTCACAGCTGAGGCCTGTTCACGTGTGGACCTGCTGCAGGTGACAGCAGTCAACGGATGGTATAGGAAAAGCCCACTGTAGGCAAATTTTATCCAAATGTCACATGCAAAATTTTGAGCAAATTCCCATTCAGAAGCATTCACTTTGGACCAGCCTTGGCGCTTGCAGAGGTTACTTCCATGTCTGCACAGTTCATTATTTCTCGACCTTTGACACTGCTTGTGTATGGGCCGAGAATTAAAAAGGCGTATTCTCAGCGGCACACTGAAAAAGGCAAGCAGAGCACGGTGCGCGCGTTGAATATTCAATTAGAGGAGGGGGGAACTGAGGAAAAGTGAAGCTGCGTGCCAGTCCTTCATCTTACATTACTGATTAGCTGTTAAACAGATTATATGCAGCTGAATGGGTTCAAATGTTGCAGCAGTAAACAGTCGCAGTTCAAGGCAATGACGAGTGGTTTCCTTCCCTGCCACTTGAGCAGGCTGAACACACTTTGTCACCACTAACAGCTCCATAATGAGACATGTTGCTGTTCCATTTTCTCCTACTTTAACCACAGCCATAAAAAAAAAAAACCCGCAAAAACCACAGAGATCAACTGAAACTGTTTCTCATGCAGGTCGAGTTGTTGGGATGAATATGTACAAGAATGTAGAAGAAAATACCTTTTATATAGACTATAGATGTAATATTAAGCTGCCTTCCCGGTGTTGATGCAAAATTAAAACATTACCATTTTCAAATCGCACAAACATGATCAGATTTCTGTATTTACATCCAAAAACTATTTCCTTCGAACAAACTGTTTAATGGCAAAAAAAAACTGCAAAAAGCCACCGCATATCATAAAGTCATAAATGCGAGGTTAAAAGTGCAATAAACTATTAAATGCTTATTAAAAATATCCTCTTGAAAAGTGAAAATAGTTTGCCCTTTTCCAACAACAACACATACTCTACATGTACAGGCGAGGCTGGAAGCCTGGAGCAGCCGGCACTTGTCCTTTCAAAACGCGAAAACAAACATATTATAAACGTGCTAAAGTGTGTAAAAGTTTACAAACTACTTTGTTAAAGTTGGTAGGTTAACATGTTAGGTTTACTACACGCACTTATTAGGCGGGATAAGTTTAAAGTAGTTGAATGTGCAGTGCCACAGCAAGCCACGCGGGTCCAAAAGAGCTCTCATTGAGAAGCCACGTGTCCGTTTCCAAAGCCTCTCCAACTTAACCACCTCCTTTGTAAGACTAACCCACATCGGCAGCGTCCCTCCACATAAAGGGATTTGCAATTTCAAGATATTTCAGCTTAAATGTTTTTGACAGTTCCCTCGCTTTTACCTCGGCTTGGTTATTTTAACTGTGCCAAATGGGTCACCTTGGGTTGCTGTCTGCGCGCAAAGGGCTTTTGCGCGCATTCAGTCTGAATTTTTTCCAACTTTCCTTGACGGGGAAACCAGCTGCTGGTCGTGAAAAGACGGCTTATTAATTGTCCTTTGTCATGCAGAATTGCTTGATTTCTAAAGAAACGTACAAAGGCTCTTTTTCAGGATTCAAGTATTTTGTTTCGTGCGTATTTTCAAACCATCGAATCAGCTGCAGCGCCGCGCCGTCTACCAGACTCTC